TGGACTCCTCGGGTGCTAGCTAACCCATGCTCCGTCCTTTCAGTCCCGTTTAGACTCTCTGTGCAGTTCGCGTTGCGTGTCAAGCCCTCAGCATAATTCTTACGTGTCGAGTCTGTTGCTAAGGCCCTTTGGCAGTCTTTCTCCGGCCCGTTTTGGCTCCAGCTCCTGGGTCTGACACTTTGTCGGGGACAAAGAGTTGAGGGATTCGATTTGGAGTTCAGAGTAAAGACTTTGCCCGTGCCCACTGAAGTGGTGTGGGTTTCCAGACATCCTGCGGTCTCACTAGTCAGTGATATCTCAACCTTCTATATTTGTTGCTTGGGTTTGAAAGGGTGAATTTGGATCATGTGCTGGTTTCTTGGGGTGCGTGTGGGAATTATGGAGATGAATAAGGGTGAGCGGAGAGGATAGGTAGGGATCAAAGAGATGTGAGGTTTCAGAGATTCTGGGACATGTGCCTTTGGAGGCCTACCCCCCATGAGAATGGAAGGCCCAATGTCGGGAGCGTCCCTTAACTGTTGGAAAAATGCAGGTATTTGTTCCTGGAGATGAAGCAGCGGCTTCCACGGAGGCCTGAATCGTATTCCAGCGGTAGAAGAGGCATATATGCTGGATTTGAAGGTCCCAGCGTTTTATATACCTTTCAGCGTCTACAGTGATGCTGCATTTTGTTGGCAGGAGTTGACCCAGTACCGTGAAGATGCCTGGTCATCAATGAGAGGGCTTTTTACATTGATCCAATCGGTACCACCATTCATAGCATTGGCCGCAAACAGGCCGCTGATTTTGAGAAAGCAAGTTTTTCCAAAGTCTCCATAGTTATGCAGAAGGCAGAAGATTACTTGCTGCAAGGCCAAGCTGTTGAATTGTCGGGGTGAAAAGACCTTTAGCTTGCCCTGCTTGCTGGGTTTCGGGACGGATCCACTGAAGATTACAAGACTGCATTTTGCAAGTGTGGGGTTTTCTGGTTTGTGCATCCTTGGCATGAGGAACCAATACGCTGTTGGTATGTCTTCAACATGTTTGTGCTTGTCGAACGGTAGCACAGTCCTTTCGGCGCATCTACGTAAACGATCTGAATTTGCCCACTAACTCCTTCTGCCTGACCGGCCTTCTGTCTTCCGCAGGGTCCTCCTTCACGCTTAAGGGTTCTCAAGTAGGGATAGTGGAGATCTGTCCTGAAATTGAGATGATTGCGTTCCAGCACTTCCATTCCTAGTCGAAATAAAGTCCCAGTGGACATGATATACTAAGGAAAATCTCTTACTCAGCTTCTGGGAGCGCATCCAGACATTCCGGAGCAATTAGAAAAGGCAAAAGGCAACAAGTGCGCCTCGCAGCATGGGGACCAACAAATGACTTCCCAAGCACGGCAACTTGAAAGTGCTGAGTCGCAACAATTCTTTGCATCACCCAGGGCCTTAGGACTGCAGAAACGAACGCCCTACTGCCAGGACGCGATCTGCCACGACCTAGATTTCATCAAGTTGCGCGGGCAGGCTGGGCAATGCAAGGGTTCGGGCTTGAAGGAGCTAGGTCCCACAAGCATGTGTAGCCTTTTGGGGCCATAGAGAGCTTTGAGACACCATCAAGTCTTGTAATACATTCCATCTTGGTAGTACCCATGGAGTCACCCCATAGGAGCCTTTTAGGGATATGGCCTGACATGCCCTAACGCTAGAAATTCATCGCAAGGTTTTTCACAGTAAGGGGTAATTGCCTGATCATGAGTTCTACGCGCCAAGGTTGGAATTACTTTGCCCCTGAATTCCCCACCTATAATCCTGATCGTAGTCCCCAGAGCATACTTTGTGTATTTCCACGTCCATAGAGCCATGACCTGGAGTCAGACAATTTGCAAGATCCTCATTGTAGCCCTGAACCCGCCAAACCCCGTGTCGACCAAGCAGATCCTCAAGATACCAGCAATTTCCACCCCCAAAAAGTGATGCCAGAAGCCCTGAACCTAACCTTCATCCTTCTCCTAGGCCCTAAATCCTGCGTCCTACATCCTAAAGCGTAAGCCCTACAACATACTTCCTTCATCTGAAGCCCTGAACCCCACGCACTAAATCTGACACCATCAACCCCCTACAACCTCAACCCTAAACTTGCTTGGAGGTGGGTCACCTTCCCCCGGAGCGGCTCCGACCCAACCAGAGCTTAGCTTCGGCTCAGGCAGTGTTTTTGTTTGTTCAAAGCTGTCTTTGCTGCCTCGGTCGTTTTTGAAAGATGCTTGATATTGAAAATCAGGCCCGATCCTACGTACCATAAACCTGGGGATTTAGGGAATTCAAGTATACAAAGGTCACGCAACAGGTTTCGTATCAACGGTAGGAATTGGTCAAACTAGTTTTTATGCAAAGCATAAGGGTCAGCCTGAAAATCTCCAACCAATCCCTGTATACCCTGTGGGTGCACATTTCGAGCACCTCATACTTTGCCAAGGCTTGAGCTTCGGCGAAGTTTGAGGTTTTCTTCTGTGAAATGAGACGCGGTGTTTTTTTTTTGTGTCTCTGTGTATGCGCGTGCTCTTGCTGGTTGAGTTGCAAGTTTGGGACCGAGATCTAAGGCCTAAGGGTGCCGGCAGGATTGTGGCTTCTGAGATGTCAATAGGTTCGCCAGTTATGCAGCTAAGAGATCTACTTCCCGATAAACGTCACTCAAAGCCAGCCCAATGCTTCAAGATGTGACTAAACCCGCCCCCCGTGCATCAAAGTCATAAGCCCTACTTCACTAGGAGGAATCCATGGAATCTGGCCCGGCAGGTTCCTTACTGAGTTATAGCTTTGTATACTTATGCAGGTCAAACGGATTTCGGGTGTAGCAGGCACCTCCCAGGATTCAGGCATTGGGAGTTCTTTGGTGCTGTCATCTTCTTGATCTTCCGAACTCCTTAGACGAGATGGCCGAGAAGGTTCTGCAATGTCGTTGACGGGGCTTATTCGGATATCTTTCTCGCTCGTTTTGAGTACGCCCTGGATTGCCTCAGGTTCCCCAAGCGTGCGCTCCCTTGTCCCCTGAGACGTCATTGATCTGAAGCCCCAGACCCTAGACCCGCCCCCACCCAACACCGCAAAACCCAAGATGAAGGTCTGTAGTAGAACCAACATAAAGTGGACCCGAAGCCTTAAGCCTTACCTGATTTTAATTTTTCTTTCGGCTCAGTTTATTGAATTTTTAAAAACATAATGCCACTTTTTAAATTCCAGCTAAACATAACCTTGGTCCTTCAAAGCTAATTCCTCCGGCACAGGCAGCAACCTGCCCTGACTGGCTTCTTCGCTCAGACGATCCCACGGATGGAGATTGGAAGAGTCCTGGCAAGACTACGGGTGATTGTTCAGAAGCATGCTGGAAGGAAAATTTGTTACCATTTCGGCCAGTATTGCGTAGTGAGGTGTCCTTTTCGCAGCGGGGTTGTATTTGCTTGGTTTGTGTTTCTGAAGTCTTCATTGTCTTAGCAAACACTCCAACACAAGAGACCTGAAACATGCGGCGTTGAGGTTTCGATGAATTCGGTGCTTAATTCGAGTTGCTGGCCTAACTAGAGCTGTGCTTTGCTGCTGCATGTAGGTTTTCCAGCTAGGCCTGACCCTGAAAAGGGTTAAAGACTCTCGGTTGAGGTTTCGGGCGGGTTCGAGGGAAATCTTCAGGTTGCAGGGCCTCTTGGTACTGCAGGTAAGAGCAACCTGACAAGCCACGTTGCGATCCCGCACTTTGTATCCGACAAGTTACTGCCTTGTCGTCGTCAGCTTTTTGATTCCAACGGTCCGTTGCTGTTCTGTTATGGCTAGCGTCAGTATTGCCGCGCTGTTGCTGCAATCAAGATTCTGAGTGCCAGAAGTGGCGTCTACATGTCCAGTGTGATCTGAGAGAATAAGCCCCCAGGCTTTGGCATCCTCACAGGCCAGTCCTCAACTTGAGCGTGCTGTTTTGAATGCACATGCCCAAAGCCTAGGGCCAAGCCCTACAGTCCAAGATCTTCAGCCACTCATGCTGTTACGCTGCTTTCGTGCTACCTGAAGTCCTCATCTATGTTAATACTGAACACTCCCAAGCCCCAAATACACACTGCCCAGGCACTGCACGGGCGGTTCAATGTGGCAGCACATCTGCTGCGGGACTTGCCAGCTCCTTGGCAGCAAGGTATTGGCGGTGTTTTTCATGAGGATACGAGGAAACGAGCTTATGTTGTTATCCTGTCTTCTTGACGATCACTATGTCACTGTGTCTCCTTTGGCACTTGCTACACATGCTTTGCAAGCTGCCCAAACTTGATCCCACATAGTTTGTGTCTACTCCGCAACATGATCCTGACATTCCTACGTGTCCTCCGACTTTTTTTAAAAAGCATTCCGTCCTATAGCCTTGAGACAGTATCCTTGCAGTCCCCAGCCGGGAACAGGAAAAATCCTGAAAGTAGCCCCTAGAATAGGCCTCAATGATGATATGGTAGGATCCATGGCTTTTCCACTCCTTCATTCCCTATTATCAGCCAGCAAGCCAGATACTTCCCGGAAAATACGGTAGGTTCCATTTTCTTTGCCGTTTCTTAGTTGCCTACAAATAACATACAAGGCGCATACTCCGCGCCTATGCTGAGAAGATGGCAGAGCTCGCTCCTCGAAGAGCGGTTTCTCGGACAGTTGTCAAGTTTACGGTTCTGGGTTTTTAGCCAGGCTACTTCACAGTTTGGAGTTTATGGTTCGCAGTCTTTATGGGGTTTGTCGTTTGGGTGGGTTCTTGGATGCAGACAGGACCAGGGCTTGAAGTTTGCGACCTTGCTTCTTTGTTAAAGTTAACTCATGACATAGGCGGGGTAGGCATGGACCAGAAAACATAACCCGTACGAAAATTCCAGAAGAGTCGAAGACATGGAGCCAAAGCCTCAAATCTTAAACCCTGAACCCTAAACCCTAAGCCCTTAAACCCTAAAGCCCTAATAACCCTAAACCCTACAAACCCTTCCCAAGGTCCTGGCTACTGCCTTAGCAAAGAAAGGCTGGTCCTCGACAAAGCTTCGGGGCTCTGGCCGTCGGCTGCCGTGCCTGGGCGTGGCATTCACTTGCTGGTGGTTACTAGGGGATATGGCAACAAAGTCCTTATGTGATCCCACAAAATGCATACGAAAAATTGTTTATACATATATTATAGATGAATGGCTACCCCGATTGTATGTTGGGAGGTTTCATATGCGCTATAAGGCAGCAGAAGTCACCCATGATTTCTGATGTTGGGGGGACTGAGTAGGGAAGAAACTCAACGACTCCTAACTGATGCCATCGATATTTCTCGACAACAGTTGCGGTGTACATCCCCGAAACACGATAAGGCAGCTATCATCTGATTGATGTTTGATCTGTTTGTGCATTTGGCGTGATGTGACCTCTTTGTATGATGACAGCTGTCTTCAGGGTCTGACTCTTTTTATTCGTGCATCGCGACGAACAACCTATCGGCCACATCCGACATGCTTTAATAAGTGCTAGGCTTTGGGTCTCTGATTTGATGCAGCCTTGAAGCTGGATTCCTCTGTAGAACACGGTTCTGCAATACGTGCGATGCATGATGTGAAAACAATCTGATGATGTATGCCTTACTACTTTGGTTCGTGTAGGTTTCTGCAGGCATGCTTACTTCTCTTCCATGGCATTCTTGGTGATACCGCTGCTGCTAGCATGGTTTTACACGAGTGTGGTAGACGCGTACATACCCTGATCTAAGCTAGGCTCCTGGCGCTTGGTACTGGTGGAATGGGTGGGCAGAGCGCCAGGGTGACCTGGCGATGATCCTGCCGGTTTAGGGTTCAGGATTGAGAGTTTAGGATCTAGGGTTCGTGGACTAGGGCTGGGAAGAGTCAGAAGGGGAAGAAGGTTAACAGTTATGCATGGATGAAAGTGTAAGCTCCTTTTTTTTGGAGGGGTTCCAGCTATCGTGTGGGAGCTTCAATTTCCAGGCTTTCCATGTTACTGCTAAACAATACACAGCCTCTCTAATCTTTCCTGTGGACTACAGGAGGATTTAATTGTCGGGGCACAAACACGAGAGCGCAATGCCATAGCCAGCACAGGCATCATGCAGGACTGACATTTACAAGATGCAAGCCACACATGTACATGCGTGTGGACAGAGCATGCTAGCCCACCGTCAGCAGTTGTCCAGAGAAAGGGGTCACGCATCTTTGCTGCGAGATAACTACACACCCCAAACTAGCAGAACCTGAAAACGGGTCCCTTGTGGACTAGCGTCCGCAAGAGGGGGGCTACATGAGATTCCACTTTTTGCCGGGGGAGGGCACATTGGCTTTTAAGCCCAGAGCCATTCTTTCCAAGTAACCTCACTCGCATGTGGTCCTGACAAGAGAGGAGCTTGAGAAACCTTACATCTACTGCTTACAAAACAAAAAGGGAGTACATTCTTTCTCTATATACATATTTGCTCATGTACACATATCCAAAGCACTCTAAAGACTTTACAACCTTTCCGTATACATAGACAACTCTATACCTCACATGGTTGATATCAAGCAATCTTGAACGACCTTCATTTACCAAACCGCTACAATTGCTCAAGTTGGGGTCAGCCAGCATCTCTTATAGCAACCATACAGCGTTATACACATTAGATTTCACCAGCCCTGAAACCTGGTAGGCGGTCATCGCTTTTGCGCTTCGAGCTGGATACCGGCATCTGGATTCAGCGGTGACGCACCTTGTGCCTGATGAGGGTACTTCAATACCGTCCCTATGATCAGAATAGCTAGCTTTAGAACTTTGTCCGCTTGGTGGTCCTGTGCGATATTTCAGGGGGATGATCTCAGTAGGCTTCTGACCCCTGATTTTCCGAAAATTGTGTTGTTGCTCTGTAGCGGACGGGGCATGCGTATAGGCTAAAAGGTTTGTGGGCTCTGACCCACGTGCTCCACGATCTACCGTTCAGCTTTCACTCAATGACGTTGTTTTGCGTGTCTTTTCCGGCAGGAGTCTTCTTCCAGGGCTATCCCTTCGAAGACGGCTGTTGCCCAGTGACTTTACTTAACCTAAAACCTTTAACCAAAGTCTACTCCCTCAATCCGCCCAAGCCTGCAACACTGCTACAAATCAAAAGCCTCTGAAATTCTCTACTCTATACTATACTGAAAACCTCATATCCTGCACCCCATGGCCCCACGCCGTGTTCCTCATCTAGAAAGGCAAACCTTATTAACGGTTCCTAGCAATCATTCAATAGCAGTAGGGTACCCTGTTGGGGGTTCTACTTTCTGGATCCTCCCAGGGCTTTGGGAAGGTATCCGAGCTTCCCTGAAGAGCTCCAGCGGGGCCTTGACGAAAGCGGAGTGCCGCGAAGTGAAGTCTTCATCTCTACCAAGGCTACAGCACTTGGAGTTGAGGGGTCCAGCGGTTTGGTGGGTTTACTGGGTCTCTGTTTTTTAATATGGAGTCATGGGTTGATAAAGTAAACTGCGTTTCAGGGATAGGATTTGAGGTTTGGGGTCTAGCTAGTCGTCCAAGGTCATGTTTGGGTAAAGGTGTGCACCGCCGTGTGTTGTAGAAGGAAAAGCCACAAGAAGTTTTTCGCTATTAGCTTCCTCATTTAGGCTGCTTCCTGTTGATCTTTGTGTTACCTGCGTCTCCAACAGGCCAAGTCAACATGTATTGGATCGTGTACATTCGGCACGGTAATGATAGCTTGTGGCCTTCAATTAGGGAGTGTTCGCCTCTCTTGAGACGATAGCGCTCTGTTTGTCTTGGCTGTTGTTGGAATCTTGCTTGCAGACTCGTTTGCGGTCTGACTGCGCCCGCTTAAGGAGGCGAGCATGTGTCATGTAACCGCAACTAGGCGGACAAGGGCCTTTCAGAGGCATCTGCAGCTTCTTCCTGCTTTGGCGTGCCTCATTCATCCTGGCCGTCCTAACTCTAAACCTTCAACGGTCCCAAAGTCTCAACCCTGTGTGTTTTCAGCGCCTGTAATCATTTCTTCATCGAGTTCTGCGCAGAAAGTAGCATGTGTATGACGTTTTTCTCCACTGACCCAGCCCCATGCCCTGGCAAGCGCCAGGTCTCTCCAGATGCCATGGGCTTCGAGGCCAGATTTTATAAAAGCAATGGTGGGGCGAACACAATGCTGCAGATAATAGGCATAGACATTATGACGGTAAGAAAGCCTAACCCCAGGCCATGAACGCTTATGGAGCTGAAAGGCATGAGCTTGTGGCAGGAAGAGGGAAATTAAAAATTCCTGTTTTCAGGTTGTGGGGCAAGGATCTGAGGAAGTAACCACATTAGGGCCTGAAGTGCTGTAGGGCTCAGGCTTGCAAATCTCGGGGTAACCCAGTCCCTTAGCCTCAAACCTTCAAGCTGCAATGACGAATCCTAAAAGTCTCAGCCCTAAAGCCCTGGATCCCAATACCTTTAAATCCTCGATGCCCAATGCTAAACTCCAAAGCCCCGCCGGCTTCCAGCCTCTGGAGGCCACACAGGCGCTAGCTCTGAGGCTGGTGGAGGAGATGCCAGGAGGCCGGGGACAGGTGTGCAACCCGAATGAGTACCGTGAGGAATAGCTTCCAGGCAGAATCCTCCTGTGATCATTCTAGTAGAGCAGTGGCCCGAACATGATCTTGCACCAGGAATGCGGGGTTAAGGGTTTAGGATTCCGTAGGCGGGTTTAGGATTGAAGGATTGGAGCTTGGGGGCATTTGATGACCGTGAAGCTCCCTGCATGGGAGGTGACCTGTTTGTTAGGTCTATACAGGCTTTGGGGCCTGGGTCTAGGGTTTAAGCTTGAGAGTCCGTTGTCTAGGCCTCATGGGTTTATATAGTCAAGGTTTATTGTTTCGGTCAGCGTGCTTGTCGGTTGGTTGTAGTGAGGGTCTCGAGTCTTCCGTAAAAAGATGGGCACGTGTGGATCTTTTTGTTGTGGTGCACCATTTAAATGTACCATAGCCTTGTAAGTTTGCAGTCAGTGTGGTTCATTTGTCCATGTTCCACCGAGCGGGCACAAAGGCCGTGATCCCACCGCAGTCCCACAATCCCGACGCAAATCTCGATGGCCACCTCAAAAGCCTGTGTACAAGCGCCTGCAGAACTTGCTGCAGAATCTTTGTAAGCAGCCCCGCAACAACCCCAGTGCAGCTGGCTTCAGAATCCAGGCTATGCAGACCTCTGCATGGTTCATTGGCCGGACACAGCGGAGAAGGCGTCCAACCCTCACTGTGAAGACAACAATAGTTGGTGCTCATAGACGGTTGAGCTTGCTAAAACGACAACAAGAGTATTGCTTTGTGAGAAATCTTGATGGCGCTATCCAGGATGGGTTGTTGGTGTAGATTCACAGCTTTACAGGTTGAGGGCTTCAGAGTTTGGGTTTGTTTGCATCATGGCTGCGAACATGCATGGGTAAGCAAAGAATCCTGTGTCAGCCTCGTCAAGGGGCTCACACCGTCCCGTCATGAAGCTGCTGAACGAACGCTTAAAGGATATGAGAGTAGCTGAGAAGGATGTGGCAGGCTTTCTGAATTTCGTTGAGGAGTTCTGACACCGGAGTTTTCCAGATTTTGAGTGACTTATATGCAAATCTAAAATTCCGCCCAACTGGTCTACACGAGCACCGCCCAAAGGACCCATGGTTATGAGGGGTGCGCACGGGATGTATACTGACTGTAGTTGGTGTTGACAGCATGGTATGAAGCATCCCAATGTGGAGTATTTATTCTTCTCCTGGAAGACTGTATGGCTTGCATGCCTCGATGAAGGATCATCAACAAGATCTCCTTGTCAGCCATGTAGATTTTTGTATGTTTGCTCCTCCCCGAAACCCATGTTAATCTGGGCTCGGCGTTAAGCTCTGACCAAAAAATCCAGAGGCACCTACTTCTGCGCAGGACACCCTCTTATTTCAGGGCTGGCGGGAAGGATGGGGGGCACAAACAGGGCTGAGAGCTTAGAGAAAGGTATTAGAAACAAATATCATTACAGATTGGGTGCAGGGTAGATCTAGAGATGCCTGCAACTGATCCTCCTGAGGATTTCAGAGCGTTCTTCAGAAGTCTTGGTGGGAAGAGCCTCCGGAGGTGTAGGCTAGCAACGACGTGCCAGGGCCACACTCATGCGCGTCCCATTTTCAGAACACAGGCTCTTACAGGCATGCGCAGCAAAACTATTGAAAAAACACACCTTGGGATTCAGAAAAGCAGCAATCCACACCTCAACAAGTATGCCCTGAAACCTTATTGCCCTAGCGAACAATCTTTCATGGTGCGTACATAAGCATCGGACTGGGGAGGTCAGGGTCGTTCAGGTTTTGGGAATGAGGTTTCAGCAGCTGTGGAAGCAAACTATCATCTTCCGTAAGCTTCAGTAGCGTGGTGATTACATAATTACATCTGTGTAAGAGCTTAAGCCTTAAGGGCTAGTACCCTACCGGAAGAGGGAGCGCTAGTACCATACCGGAAGAGGGAGAGAGCAGCATCAACTCGTGTTCTCCAAGAAATCTATGCCCCATAGGCCAACATTGCACCACCCCAGACCAGGTACCTTCAACATCTTTGCAAGATGGGATGTTAGTCACTTCCAGTGCGGGTAAGACGGCACCACCAGTGTTGATGACAACAACCTTCGTTTTCCTGCAGGCGCTTTGGTTCCAAGAACCTTTGCACGACACATTGTTGGCATAGCTAGATGCAGGTTTTTGGGTCCCAACCTTGAACCCGCAAATCTTTGATTCCCTCAACTCTTCGGAGCGGGAATGGGGCCCTGCCACGTGCGCAAGGACCCTGCATTGTGGTCTTCACTGGAGCGAGTCGGAACCTGGAAGGCGCTGGGAAAAAGGGAAAGCGACAGTACCAGGTTGTGGAAGGAGACGAAACGCCCGATGCATAATATGTGGTGCTGTCATCAGATTTGGGGAGCACGATGAAGATGTTGATGGCCACGGTACTTTCATGAAGGAGCATTGACCGCAAGACGACCAGAGAACATGTCAAACATGAACGTCCAATCTAAGAAACAGCAGCCCAGGTACTCACGTTTAGTTTAGCGTCTTTCCACCGGAGCACGCACAAAACTACACGTTGATCTCAAAAAATGCAGGTGACAACAGGCTATCACAGTCTGCTCCTGACCGAAGCAGATGTCTGTAGATTTGTGAGCTCTTGTTTTCACATTCGTGTGAGAATCCAGTAATGGTTGCGCAATTCTACGAGCATGTTCTTGCACGGGCAACAGTGAGATGGAAGAGGTTAGGGGCCATGAAGCTTGGGATCCAGGGTTTAAGGCGTTGGGCATCGGGGTGTATCAATCCACGCGAAGCCTTTCTCTCTTTCAGGATCACGTTTAGGAGGGTCTTGGTGCCAACAACTCTTGTCACAAGCTGATCCGCTGAAACTTCTGCAGCGCCACACTCATTCAAGTTGTCTTTGTTCGCTTCAGCAACAGTGGCATGCTGGAGTTGGACGCAGCCCTTCATAGCATATCCCCAGGAACATGCAGAGAAAGAGACTGAAGCAGCGCAGACCTCAATGCCAGCTTTCACATATTCTCTACACCCTAAGCCCAGGCTCAGACCCGAAACCCTGATAAGTACATAGCCCATGAAATCTCAGTCTTTGCTCGAGGCTTTGGAAGCGGCATACGATGCTGGAGTCTGCAAGGAGCGCACATTCAGGATCCATAGGGTTAAGGGTTGAGGCTTTCGAGAGCTTAGGAGTTAAGATAAGCGGCATAGCTGTGGGAAACCCAGGCCGTAGCCGAACACGCCGTCTTTTCTGGGTGCCTCCATCTCCTTGCCAATGCTTTTTTTTGGGGGGGGTTTTAGTTCGGGGCTTTTGTCCGAAGCATGACCGTTGGGGCATCCAACGAGCCCTGTGTAGTACTGGTGGAGGGGGCGTATCTTGAAATGAATTGAGTCAACTGGCAGAGCATCATTGTTTTATAATGCTAAGAAGAGAGTTCTGAGGCTATGGGTAGAGTTTGGATGTGCGGATTGTACAAAGTTGATATACTACAGGTCTCGGTATGTGGCTTGCTACTCAACGGATACGCTTTGGGAACAGTGACTTGGTCAACTGCGTGGGTTGCTTTGTACCCTAAGGGTCGAACATGTCGGGAGCTTCAGGGTTCAGCCTTGGATGCCTTAGCACTCACAAGCCACTCCAGTAATGCCTGCTCGTTTATAGCGAGTGCAAACCTCACGGAGGCCACTGTAAGAGGAGTCACGCCCCCTTTCCATACAATTGCCGAAACAACACTTTGGTGACCTAAATGCTCATTGCGTTGTGGTCCTAGATATTTTGTACAAATTATAGTAGAGGGTGCTGCCAACAGACCTCAAAATCATATTGGTTTGCAGGCTTCTATGTTATCGAGGCTTCGCGAGAAAGATGGAGAATGCCGAAATGCCTAACCCCATGCGATCCTCATCCTTCCACTCCAAACACTTCAGCCCTTCCATCCAAAACGCACAGGCAAAGCTAAGCTGTGTAAAGTAAGGCCCAGCCACCCTGCAACTGACGCCAGGCTCTTGGCGTCTGCAACTTCCTGGTCAAACACCTGAAGGACTGCCTGGATGTGTCCAAGCTTTGGGGGCTAAGGTTCGCGGATAAAGGTTTTTGACTTTTAAGTCTAGAGGTTAGGAATGTACTTAGGGTAAAAGGTTTCAACTTGGGCTGTTGGGGGTGTAAATATAGTCCTCCTTGAGCACACAGCCAAGCAGCGGTATAGCGGATGTCGGGAAAGGACTTTGAGCTTCTGCTCTGATGGGCTTTAAAGACAACACGAAACGAAGACGAAGCCCTGCACTGCAGGACTCTGTATAGTTACATGCAGGGTTGTTTAGCTAGATGGCAATTACAGCCTTGGCCAGCCCTGTCAAAGACACTGATGAACTGCTGTTTGGATTTGGAGTTTGCAGCTAGTATCTTTCACTGGGGTGCACGTGTAGAATCATGTGCTCGAGCTGTCCTTTAAGACTTCAACAACATAGAGGGTTCGGCTTTTGAAGGAACGAGTTCTGTCCTTGACACATCGATCCTTTCAGATCCTCCGCCCCACGTTTCAAGATTTCTCATTCATTCGAGCGTTAAACTCATGTTAGCGGTCACTGTATTCGGCATTATCCAGCAGCATCATCAGTCTGCTTGCAAGGACTCGCACGCAGTCTGCAGACGGGGTTGGACTTTCTTGGGAAGAAAATCGTTGTAAATACTGGCTGAGATGCGGGCCTAAGCGTGGAAAGTCTTTTACGGCTGGCGAAGTTTGAGCCCTGAATTATCCTGAAAACCAATCTTATCGCTCCTCTGCATCGCTCATGTGAACTTTGCTGTCAACTGCTGGAACGAAGAAACTCCACAACATCTGGTTTCAGCGCCGACAGCGGTGCAATTCAGTAGCTTCTGAAGATCATGTAATCATTTGGAAGAAGCTGCCTGACTGGCGGACAGATGCTGAAAATTCAGCAAGAACAAAGCAACCCACCCTGCACTATGCCAAGCTCATGTTGCCAAAGGTTTTAATATGTCCCACATTTCCCAGGAGCTGCTCAGCTACGCACGCGTGCCACCAGCGGTGAACCAAATTGAGTAGCCTGGCTGAGGCTGAGAGGCCTGCGGGCTTGTCCCAAATCGGTCCAAGAATATAAGCAACCAGCAATGATGTACTTACAACATTCTTAGTGATCTAGATGACGCCTGATGGTCATTGGGTGGGAGAGTACGCTAAGTACTTTGCTCAGGTGTGTCAGGGCATAGGTTGCATTTTTTGTTACTGTACTTATCTGGCTTTGTGTTTGACTTCGTGCAAGGGTAAGTGTCCTGACCTGTAGTGTCTGATTGTTATATGGGTCCCTATATAGTACGGTTTTACATGGCTAGTTCCCGTAAGCCCAAATTTGGCTGTAGCAATTAAGTTTTGACAATTTTGACCTCAACCCAGCACTCCAAAGACCGGAAGTCCGACACCTTCAGTTCTATACGTGCCCCAAACCCTCAACCTAAAGTAAACCATGTTCGTGCCCGCTTTCCTACACGTAGTAGACCCCCAGGTCTGGAATTCCAAAGTTCAGCATCCACGGTTTTCCCAGATGCTCCGAGGTATTCCCCAACTGCGCCTCTTGCGGATGCGCCGACCTCAGGATCTCGACCGATGAAAGGGTTCGAGTGCTTAAAGGGTAGATAGACGCAAAGTCTTGCTGCGAACAGTATCTGCTCCCCTGTTTTCAAAGGATCACTACATTAACGTAACTACGACGGGCTGCACTTCAGGAGAACAGCCTGCTTTCCCAGCCCACAACAGGATCCAACAAATGGAGACCCCAACTGTATGAGGAAGACTTTGGGCACTATTGGGAGGCTCTTGTTCTTTCGTAGCTGCTTTGGCAACCCTGTGCATGGCAGTACCCATAGCCACCGGGAGTGCTTGGCATTCCTACAAAATGGTTTTCAGATGTAGGTTTGCGGCTTGTGAGTTTTTCGCTTCTCCTCCATTGCCATTTGCAAGCTGAATTGACTTGCCTGTTGGCCAGTCGGGCAATTGAGTAAAAAGCAGGTTCCCAATGTTATGCTTGCGTAAATGTCTTCAAAAAGCCTCAAGCATTTCAGGATTTGGCAAATCTTGGAGGTATAGTAAGGAAACTATACGTATGCAGGACGTCTTGCTTCAGTAGAGCAGGACGCCATGAGTATGCAGCTCATGCAAAACCGAAAGCCTAAATCCCTCACTCGCAGATGACGTTGGTTGTATCAGTAGCCACAATCCCTGTCAGATGTAAGATGGCACGGAGGTACACGTAAACGCTCCAGGAAGCTGTTAAACTGCATACGCTGGAGCCTCAGCCTTGCATTAAGGTTGTTGACTTCTGCCGGGCTCATGGCATCGTGATCGAAGCCTTTGCATGGAATCGGCTAGAGGTTCTCATGCAAGAGGCGCGCACTAACCTTCGCGAGTGTCTAGTGTCGAGTTACGATGACCCCGAAATTCATTGTGAAAGCAAGACTGCTGATGTGCTCGGGGAAGTGCCAAGGGGGCCAAGGGGCATTTGTGTTGAGATTTGGCCTTTTCAGGCTGGTTCTCAGGTTCGATGTTGTCTGGAAGACGTTTTTAAATTGTCGCAGGGGTAGTGAGATTCCGTTTATGCGCCAAAGATGCTTCGTGGTTGGACTGACATCTGTGCCTTGGACTCGCACTGACGTGAAGAATCTCCGCAGGGCTTGCAATGGGATCTTGAAACAGGACCCTTCTTACCGACTTGCAGCTGGATGTGGATTTCTCCCGCAATGTGTCACGCCATCTGACAGCTTCGCACATCCTTGAAGGTCTGACTACACCCTAAATCTTCATCGAAAGCTTGATCCTCAAACTTGAGCCTCTCACCTCCAGTTGACAGCCCATGTTCGAGTGCGTAATTCCTGCAGCCCTTGAGTCCTGACTTTAGCTCGTTCCCCTGCATCCTGTAGCCTCACACCTCCCTAGTTATTGCAAGCCGTAGACCTATCCTGACACCACTGGCTCCCAAACAGACACTGAAACCCCTTAACTCCTTGCGCGAGAGGAACTCCTGGAGCTTACGCACCGTCTGTCCCCCACCCCGACGCTTCATCGTGACTTCGCCATGCAGGCGTTATCCAGAACAACGTCAGGGATCGGGACATTTTTCCTGGCAGTTACATATATATATATATACATATATACATACATGGAGGCTGATCCTATCACGGTATGAAGAAACTATATTAAGATATATGGGGAACTGATGAAGGGGCCAGGAACCAGCCTTATGACTCAACTAACTTGAGCTCCTGGCTAAGATGCTGTTTCGCATGGTTCTCCAGGAAGGATAGAGAAAGGCTAGGTAAGGTGGTCGAGTTGGGGTGGAAGCATTCAGTTTTGTCTGGAGCGCATGGCATGGTTGGACCTAAGACTTGGTGTTGAAGGTTCAGGGGTGATTGGTTTAGATATGGATCTTCGCACACCTTGGGATTGACGTTTAAAGGTTGGTGGGCCTTCCTTTTGCGACTTTGGTTGGTTACGTTTTTTCGTCTTGGCACTGTTGCTTTCACACGGGAGAGGCTCCGAGCAAGTTTGAAACGCTACACGGTAGGTCTTGCAATTATGATGCTAGAGCAACCTTGCATCGGTTCCAACGTTTGAAATGGATGACCTTCTGCAACGGGGGAGCCAGCAGGGGTGGGACAAATCTTTGCAGGCTGTCTCCCTCAGTTTGCATTACAGCTCACGTGTTGCATCTAAAGGCCTGCACACAGATTCAGCCACAGGGATGGAGCATTGCCATAAACAAGGGTGGGTGCTCTAATGACCCCGTTTATACTCCACGCCAAGGATCAGGCTTGACCAGCCTGTACGTAAGCCTAATTAGGAGGGAACCTGGGCGAGCCGTAGTATACGGGGGAGGGGGTGTTGAGAAGACATAGAACAAGGGCAACGCTTGAATACACAAAAATGTTATCATCCTTAATGGAGCCCCGAAAAGAGTGGAACAAGTGCATGGCCACCTGTTCAGCATCTGCCACATGGCTGGCCATCCTTGTTAGGCTGTACAAAAGAAAGGCTTGATTTGGGAGGTGGGTGGCCAGACAATAACATCCCACAGCCGAACCCTGAACCGCGAGCTTGTCAAGGTCCGTCATATTCATCTCTACTCTGCTTGTTATAGATTATGACTGCCATCAAAGGTTTGCAGGAATAGACAACAGTTAAGACCGCAAAAAACGGCACAGGTTCTCATGCGATGGTTCATGCAGCAGGCCACCTGGCTGAGGATACAGCCGCTGATGCAAGAAAGATAGCGTCATGGTCGGGGGTTTGAGGTCGAGTTTCACTCAGCCTGGACTGCAAAACCTACGTTACCAGACTAGATAATAACTTGTGGCTCTCGTCGTCAGGCTTACTCCCACGGCTTGGCCTTAAACGGGACTTTCTCAGCTCAACAGCTCTTCATCAACTCTGAATGTCAGAGCGCTTGTAGTGTCTCTGACTGGTGATTCTCCACTAGGCCCTGGTAAGGTCTTGGGGGCGAATTACACGCAGCCTTGGACCTTGGAAGGTTCAGAAAGGATCTGCGGCAATCGCTGTCTCAGAGGTAGGAGTGATCCTGATGATTTCAGCGACCATGAAGGCACAAATTGTTGTCACTCTGGAACAGAGAGCGAGCTAAGCTCACAGAGGCTCTTCTAAATTATTTGACATGACAATCAGATCCCCTGAAGCTTGGCGTGGAAACAACACCATCTTACTAAAGCCCACTTTCCAACAATCGATCTCAGGGCATGGTTCCGCTGTTCCGCAGCGAGCGCCAGGCAGACATGGGTTACAAATGTCATGGGTTTTCCTTTCAGCTAGAGATAATGGCACTTCGAATTGGGAGGGAACTGCAACATTGCTGGTTTGCTCGAAAACCTTGACGTTGAATTCGGGCGCTCGCTCTACCATGTTTTTGAGGCCTTTGCTTGAGAAAAGAGTCCAGATAATGCCCCGGACCGCGACACGCCTCCTGTACGGCTCTGATACGGCTTCGATATCTTGATACGCCTGCGATAGGGCTCGGACACGCTTCCAGTACCCCTGCGATACGCCCTCGGATACGCCTCTGATGAGTGTATCGTAGGCCCTTAAACTACACCGCCGTAATCCTGAGCATGCTCCGAAGGAGGTGGTGTTGCAGACTGCGGAAGGCCTACTGAACGTGCCGAACCTCACTGAGGCTGTCCACGATGATAAACGCCCTTCTTAGGTTTTGTTTGAGGGGTTGGCAGGCTTTGGACGCAAGGCAGAGGATTGAGTCAGTTGGTTTAGACGTTAGGGTTTTCCGGGTGCTGGACGGCTCTCAAATTCAGGTGTTCCCAGGATACGAAGAGCCTGAAGCCCGTAGAAGCTATTTTGCTGCAGACAGCTGAGGTTCTTGCAGTTTCAAGCATTGCCAGAAGACTGTGACTATGGAACGTCAAGCTGCCCCAATCCTGCCATATCCTGCCTAAAGCCTCCAACGCTTGTGGCATGCACTCAAAAGTCACAACCTCCCATCGCAGGTGAAGCTTTCAAACGCAGGAACCATGCTTTGGAGCATCTAGCTTAGGGTCTGCGCCATATTGATGTTGCGTGACTTCACATAACTGAAGCCAGACTTGTAGAGCTTCAGGTTTCAATGTCTTTTAGTGGGATTTGAAGAGTTAGTGGCAAAAGGCAGGTATTTAGAACAGGGCACTCCTTTCACTGCCAGGAACACATAGTAAGAGACACCCTAAATCCCATACCCCGGACCCTGAACCCCAAATCCCATACCCCAAGCCCTACAGACCCTGCACCACTTTGAGGCGCAGATCGAGTCACTGCGCAAGCCTCGTAGTGCCAACCTCAGTTGACATATTTTCAGATGGCTCTTTTGAAGTACATGTGGTGTAGGATTCTGTAGCACTGGTGGCAAGATCCTTTGAGGTTGTAGGGGTTTTCTTAATTTGATTCTCGCCAGCTGCTCAAGATCTTTTTTGGTGCAGCTTCCCCTGCACGAAATCTCCCAGCTTCAAGCAGCAAACCCTATTGCCTGAAGAGGTTCAGGGGTTGAAGGGTAGCCTGCAATCATCAAGATTGAGTCCTAGAAGCTTAGAAGTCATACTCTGGGCCTCGAAGTGCAATGGATGAATAAGGTCTTGCCTGAAGCTAGGTACATTATACATCATTATCCGTATCCATCAACAATATGTTAAACTGGAGACAGGCAGGCCAACGCAGAGGATTCGTGCTCACTTTGAAAGGCGTGCAAAAGATGTACGATTCCAACAAGACAAAGAACAGAATCCGTAGCATCGTTGAAGCAGAAGAATGGGTGCCATGGTAATGCTAGCAGCTGCTTGCAGGAATCACGATTGCACGGCTGGCTTATAGTCATGCTCAGTCTTGCATCCATTGTCGCGGGCCCCTTGCATCTATGCGTCAAATGAAGGATGTCTCTGCATGATCCCTGTACAGATTTCAAGCAAACAGCAAACAATCAAATGAGGATCTCATCGCCATCATCTGACATTGATTCGGTTCATACTTGGAGGTTGGCGAATGATGGCTATCGGCTATCAGTCCATTTTAGCTGGGTCGGTGACGGTAATAGGGCTTGCATCCCCAAACCCTAAACCCCAAAACAGGTTGGGTACCAGCACCGCACTTCGCAGATCGCATCTCCTTCCATTCGCTCCGAGGTGACTATCCATGGAAGTATTACAGTGCAGCTGCGCCTTGGCGGACACCTGTGCTTGCGACCAAGGGCTAGAGAGCCAAAAAGGAGCCAGACCTGTGTTTGTGTTTGCATACGTCGTTGTCGGCAGTACTGATACTTAGCAGTTTCGCGACTTAGTACTCTGAAATTATAAGATTGTTGTCGTTGCTGCTGCTGTTGTTGCTGTGGCTGTTGCTCTTGCTGCTGCTCCTGCTGTTGTTAGTGTCCAGCTACAGCTACCAGCTACCCCAGACCGCATACGGCGAAGTCTTAAAGTGAGACCTTGGCAAAGCCAGTCATCCTTGAGGGTTTACCACGGGATGGACGCGATTGTTCGGTTGCCGTGCTGAAGTGGCAGCAAGTATTGTCTGAAGTCCAGCGCTGTAACACCTGCATGATGTGAAGCTATTGGATAGAGGAAGTCTTTTGGGAGTCTCAACATGATCTGTTAAGACTCCCCAGCGGGGTCCTTGAGAGCATCCCAATCTTGAGAACTCGCCCAATTAAGTATGGGCAGCATGACCGCTGATGCGCATGGAACAGCTGGAGGTGCTTCACGGCCCATACTAAGCCACAGGGCTACATTGCGAGTAGTATCAGGAAGATTCAGAAAGGTTGCGGAATGTTGCAGATCTTATCACTTGCAGTTGTTAAACCGAGATATCAGGTCCGATCCGAGGTTTGCTGTACCCTGGCTCACGAAGTTCAAGCCCAAAGCCCTGTTTCCAATCTGATTCCTTCTCAAGGGGATCTTCAACCAGAAAAATGAGATGAACGTTCAAGTGCAGAATCTCAAAACCTGAACATTCTTTAAAGCTACCCCGAGGATCCTACAGGACAGGATCTTGGAAGCTAAGCTTGGGGATTCCACAAAGGAGGTCCAAGAGCCTCAGCGCATTTTTTTGCGAAGTCTTGAACCCTGAAACTTGATTCAGGAAACCCTCCACGGGCCTTCAACCATATCCGAAGGAGTCCCTGAACGCTTGTCTCCCTAACGCCTATGTTGTGCTCCTAACTCCCCAACCGGAAGCCTGACAGGTACTCCACCAACGTGATGTCTGTGGTCCTTAGCCAGCCAGGGCCTCTCTCAGGGTGGTTCCAAAGGTTTAGGGGATGGGGTTGTAGGTAATGTAGGGGTCGAAGCGATGACCACACTGTTGTGACATATCTTACTATAGTTATACAGGGGTGACAGGGAATTCATAATTCCGATGGGGATGTAGCTCCGGCCTGACTGTCCGAAGCTTGTGAGCTGGGCCAAACAGGCAGCAAACCAGCTTTCGATACTTGTGCGAAGATCCTAGACATGCTGGCTGAATCGGTAGCTTCTGAGTAAATTGTATTGCAATTGGGTTGGCAAGACTGTGGAGCCTGATAGACATTTAACCTGCAACTCCAGAGGCCTAAGCCCATTGCTGGATGAAGCAAACTCACGCCCAATCATATGACCATTCCTCAAGAAAGCTGTGCACCATGTCAGCGCAAGGATATCTAACGGCATGCTTTGAGACACCCACAGACGGTGCCGGCAATGATTCGCATTTGGCGCTGGCATGAGGTATCTTCCGCCAAGTCCCTTGCGAGTTGGTGTGCAGGCGGGTTTCACACAAGTTTGCTATCTAGGGTTGGCTCTCTTCATCGGTGGTTTCGGGTCAGGATCTAGAATTTTGTCTTTTGGCTGTTGTGAAGAGCGTAGTATTTTGAGCATAGTAAGGCCTAGTTCCCTGGCCTCAGGCTCAGGATTCATCATCTTGAGGAGTCAGCAATTGGGCTTCGATGATGGAACTTCTGTGCCCCAATGTTCAAGCGGAATGCATCAAAGGACCGTACGACATGGATTTGAGATCCTGGAGCCCTGCAGCATGCTACCTCCTGAAGACATTGTGCCTTGGGTTGACTCGGAACGGCGGTTTCTGACACCTTGCCACTGACATCTACAGCTCAAACATGCTACCCCCATCAATCAAGAACAAGAGCGGATTCCTTTCACACCCTTTCCGATCTCCGTGCCTGTGGTAGCTGGGGCTTCAAGTCTTTTTGGGGTGTGTACTTGCCTTGCTTCTCCAATCTTCAAGCAGGAGGACCTTCTCAAGCTAGACGTCTTCCCCTTGAAGGCGCGCAGGGTGGTCGAGGGGCGGGGAGGAAATAGGCCAGTTTCGGCCAGATAGTATAATCGGAAACAGGTTTTGGAGCTAGTGCCCCAACCTTTGGGGACATGGACCCTCAAAACTCTGTACAGTAGAGGTTGGTAGAGAATTTGTTGTATTGATTCGCGGCGCAGCTTGTTAGACTGCATCGAGATAGGGAATGAGGACGGTTCGCAACATGTAGGAACATGCAGAAAATCTCTATCAGGGCCGTTGATTGTAGATTGCACTGCAGAGTATGGAAAGTTTACAGGGGCGCTTGCTTGCATCCCTAGGCCCACGTGCGTGAGTAGAACAACCGGCCACAGCACACAGTGCACACAGTGGGCATCCATAGTTCTGAGCACAGATGTAATCTTGGTGAGTGAAATTTACCAGCTCTCCAGTCATAGGTGGGCGAAGGAGGCAATCCCTTTACAGGGCCGCCCAACAGGCCAACAACGTATCGTGGAAGCAGCGCAGTCGGAGTACGCCGAAGCAAGTTGCATAATTTGGATTTATAGCCCTGCACTTCAAGCACTTTGGTCAATAAGAGCAACTAATCCTAAGTTCTGTGAGTCGAGGTTTGTTTTCATCAAGCCCCTCCAGCTGACTCCAGCTCTAGAAAAAATTAAAGTCGCAAGACTCCAGTCCTAGATGCCAAGCGAATCTCGAAAGCCCAGAAGCCTACCCTCTCCAAGACCCTGAACCTCAAAGAGCCGTGAACCCTTGAAACTCTGAATGGCGAAAAACTTGGATGAGGTGGTGGATGATCAGACAAACGGCTTTCGCGTGGCCATCTGGCCACTTCGTAGAATTTAGGAAAGTTCAAGATGGGGTGCGCATTTGACTACAGGCATCGCTTGCTTACTTTGGAATCGTTTGCATAAGTCAGATGGGGCTCGGCATGCCAGACGCCAACAACCTGAGCCATGACGGCCTTTGCTCCTTTGTAGTGCTAGCCAACAGCTGTCCGGCATTTTTGGAGGACTCAGAGTTGCGTTAGAGATAGACAACTTTAGAGTTGCGTTGTTTTACATAAGGGCTCCCAATGTTCTTCGGGGTCTAATTTGTGCACGCTACCAATCACTTGTTGGCTTATAACGTTTGCGCAGAAGGCCGTGCTCACCCTTGCATGTTGCGTCAGGGCTGGCAGAAGTACCTTGCTGCAATGTGAAGACCAGGTCTGCACCGTCTGCACCAGTTGGCCTTTCATGAGCAGAGATTTCCCAGAGACTATGCCCACAATTCCAACCCTGGCATGATAATGAAGGAATTGGAGTCTTGCTTTCAAAACATTCCTGACAAACGCAATTGCCGTCCCATGCACTTCGTACGGTGACTTCCATATAGTGTCCAGACGCGCTAGAACTTGCTGGCATACTCGTGCAGTACGTAGTGGTGGGTACTGCAAGCACCAAAGTAGATCATAACCGTCACCAGAAGGTCAGGGGTTCCGGGTTCAGCCAGTTGGGTTGTGCCCAATACAGACATGTCACAATCGAGGCTTACCAAGACATTGACGGCCATGACTTTTGCACAGACTCCTTTGAACCCCTAGGTATTTGGCCATGGAGGGTGCCATTGCTCTGCTGTTCGTCTACACCCTGGTCGAGGCAGCTTCTGCTGTAGCGGGCTGCGAAGCATAGAAGTGCTCTGCTCCACGCTGACTGGGTCACTCTTCGGGATATTGCGTGATTCCATCTCTTTTTTTGTATGTTAGGGGTATGGGGCGTAAAGTAGTACATGTGCATAAATGCTGAACTAGTTTCCAGCCGTTTATAACGACCCACCGAAGACCGGCCCAGCCCATGGTAAGGCCGCCAAGCAAGTTCAATTTGCCCGCGATTCGGGCAATCTCCAAGACACGGGTAGCAAGGACTAGAATGTTTCGGGTTACGGCATTTCTGAAAAGCTTTGGTGTCCTTCTAGTAGCCACCGTACTGCAAAGGGTAGTCCAGCTAGGCCCCATGACTTTGCAAGAGAATAGCCCGTATGTGTAGGCCTTCATCTTGTGCTAAAATTAAATGCTAGAAGCGTTGGCTTCGTGTTGATGTGTGCCGCGTAGTTGTAGTCAGTAGGGCTTCTTACATAATCTGTGGGATATGATCAGCAGATGGACGCCCGCAGCTGGGTTAAGCACTGTAGTCTGAAGTGAGGCCGCCAGGTTGAGCCCATGCCCCGCATTGAGGTATCAGCTCCCACGCCACAAGGCAGGGCTGGCAGATTCCAACCTGGCCAGCTGAAAATGCAATGCTGGACGATCAGCATTGGATCTCAGTACGTGGAAGAAGGTGTGGGCATGCAAGGAGCACATGAAGAGACGGCAAAATGCTTGTGTACCCAAATCCCATCGCCTCCCAATTTGATTTTTTTTCCAACAAACACACCCTCGAGAATCCCTCATTATTTCTTTTTTGTTTTTGTTGAAGGGATACCCACGATGGATAAGCCAATGAAGCGCGTGAGGCTATGTCTTTGTCCGGCCTGATGCAATATGGCCTGCTTGGCCGGCTCCTGAGATCTGTCCAAGAGCACAACTGAGACGTACTTGCAACCTGTAGAAGTTTGACGGAATAGCTGGCAACATTGGCGCCAGCCAGTTTCGGAGCCATCGCTTTTTGTCTTTTGTGTGTGGTGCCCAACTGATAATTCCAATCATGTTGGCCTCCAGTGTAAGCCAGCCTGGTCAAAACAGGCCAAATTTATGCCCTCAGGATTCGAATAGTTTGTAGGCCTTTAAATTGTGCGGGCTTTTTGCTGCGGATTTGGGACGTAAATGGTGCGTTTGACATGCTTCTGGATTGGCTGTTCAACTTTTGTTTTCTTATGACCATCAATGCAATCTAGGGATACTCTGCACGAGATAACAAGTAAATGGCTCGTCATGTTTAGGAGCCCCTTTACCTGTTGTGTTTCAGGCCTGTT